TCTGCTTTTGCAAACTGCTCAAAATGACGATCACATGCTTCCCATCGGTTCTGAAAAACAATACAAACAAAAGTCATACGTGACTGAAATTCAGGTAGCAGGTGAGACAAATTCAAATAGCCATAGTCTAACGCACCATATGTAGCAGATAAAAACATATTGCAAACTGTGTCACTTAATTGCTGTCATCTCATGGCACACAGAGTATTATCCCAGATATATACATTACTGAATAATAATCGACGCTTGCTTAATCTTTACTACTGCTTATATTGTGTCTCAAGATCATTTAATTTGTTCTTGTTTCAAGCCATCAAAAACCGTTTTTCTTTCTCCCTTACATGATGTGCTTTCTTTACTTTTTAATGCATATTTTATCATCATTAGCACGACATACATCATCCACTCATACCGTATCCATATTCCTGTTGTGCGCTGCAAGGCAGTACCTGCTGATATAATTGACAGTTATTTGAGGCATTCATCCAGTTGAAATAGCTATTTCAGTTAAACTCTATTAGTCTCGATTTCTTTCCCTTAGTGCTCCATCTCGGAGAGCGTGCACCGACCACAGAACCAAATTTCATGACAGAACATAGCTTGATTCAGAGTACATTTCCGAACCACTACAACGGCCTCAAATGATTGATATACAAGTTCGAAAAGCTTTGCTAATGATGAAATGGCTTGGCATAGCATCTCATACATTTCACGGCAGTTCCGTCTGGAAGAAGACTACCATGACTATAACGATAAACGAAAAAAGAACTAAGCGACACAATTAATTTCCAAGAGAGATGAAAACATCAACCAAATGTTTTCATCATGGTATCTGCTCCTTGAGCAGAGAGTGGAGGATCGCTGGGGGGGGGAACTGAAGGTACTGACAAAATTTTATATCAATAAAAAAATGCAAATTCTGCCACTCTGACGTTTAATTTTACATATGTAAAATGTCATGTGACAACTTCGCTCAGTCTGGCGCATTTTTACAATCATTCTTCTGAACAATGGATGTCATTGCCGTTTGTCCAAGGTGCATAAAAATATATATTCTCCTGGATTAAAGCTTCATATAAATCCCTCACAGTGAGTGCGATAGCTCACAAAAATTTAGATTAACCTAAGGGGTTGGCTGTGCCACGAGCTTAATTATGTCACATCAATCCGGTTGAGCAGTCTGAGTTGTGCTGTTGGAGGATCGATCGACTTTACATCGAGAAATTTCCATTTGGTAAGTGCACTCCTTACTTGTATTTTCTTGGAGGGGACACCGCTACTGCTGGTAAGTGCTCTTACCTGAATTTATGGTCAAAGAGTTCTTCCCGCAGACAGAGTAGCAATAAAGTAAACTCAACAGAACTAGTATTAGTTCCTTGTCGCACTCTAGCAATTGCTCGTCTCCAACAACAGTCACCTCAGAATATCAGTATATAAATCGCAGTTTTCTTCACACGTTGTAATATTTATTTTTATCATTTTAAATTCACTGTATGTTAATGATATAATGAAACGTAAAATGAGTCAATTGCTGCATTGAAGTCCTTCAAAATGTGTACCGAGCTGCATAAGCATAGGTTTTGTGAGACCTGGCACAGTCGCACAACGGCACCACGCTGCTCATAAATTTGCAGGTCATGGACTTGTTATTAATTTCTCAGTTGATTGAACTGGCGTCTAACGGACCAGGTTCAATGGTCAAGGGAACTGGAAGTCAATAAAATAAATTTATGCTGTGCCTGGGTCTGCTCATGCTGCTATCGTTTACAGCCGAAAACAAAGGATTATTCCATATGTTCCCTTCTTCATAATAAAATCTGCTAGCAGGCGGACAGCAATTAATAATTTACATGTAAGGTCTAAATATTTCATACACTGTTTATGAGGGCTGCCACGAGCAAGTGGAAGAGAATTTTCCAATTTTTATTTACTATTGTGACTTCCGCAATCTGGTCTTTACGATGCACATTTTTGCACATTATTGCTGTGGAAAGCTGCAACGGTTAGCATCAAGCCTGTGAAGCCTGAATACATGAAGTGGCTATTAGTTATTCGAAGTTGAGAAGACCTAGAATATGGTAAATATTGACCAAATTTTATAAAAGAGGCAAACTATAAGCACTAAAATATAGGTACGTGAATAAATAATCCACGGATGAAGACCTTTCCCAGATAGTGAACTCTTTCAAATTTGTAGATTAGCTATTGAGTGGCCATGCAGTCGATAAAATGATTTTCTGAAGAAGCAACCCTGCTCAACAGGAGTTGGAGTTCCACATGGAGTTCGCTCATAAGTGGATGCTCATTTCTGATATCAAGAACAATTGTAAATGTGACTGATTATGCATGAAGCAAATTTAGAAGCGTTTGGAAGCTGTAGCACCACGTCTAAAAATATTTAATGTATCCAGCCTTCATTTAACCAGTGCTGTTTCCTGCCATAATACAGTTAGCGGTATTTATTATTTGTATGCTTTAAAGTGATAAAAGCTGTGGCTAAAGCATCACACTTTTAAAGAACAACATAGCATAACTGATCATAGATCCCAGAT